TGACCCTTTTAATTTGTTAATAAATAAAAAACTAAGAACGTTATGAAGTTGAAACTTGTTTTATTTAAAAGAAGAACATTTTTATGGTAATATTGTATCATAGTTAAAATATTGTGTCCTATTACAATATTTTATTATTGTATTAGTTAAAATATTTATTATGTATTAGTAATATGTATTAGTTAAAATATTGTATGTAATATTGTATCCTAGTTAGTTATTGTATAATAAAAACTAGGATACAATATTACCATAAAAATGTTCTTCTTTTAAATAAAACAAGTTTCAACTTCATAACGTTCTTAGTTTTTTATTTATTAACAAATTAAAAGGGTCAGTTAATTCTGGTTCACCCTGTATATATATAGTGAAATAGGTTTAGAATAGTAATATAAATATGTTGAATGCAATGCCAATAAATAATTAAATAAAACTGCAGGGTTGGCATAAGCAAATACATTGCAGAATAGCAATTCATTAGAGCCAATAGGCTTTACCCTTATATAGATAGAATTAAAGAAGCCAGAAATTTACTACCGTACTTATACACGATTTCGTAGCAATATAGCCCTGGATGGCACGATATGACTCACTTTCTTTGCGTCTGTTATGTTAAATGGTGAGGGAATGGTACAGCCTTTTGCCTCAGCATTGGTGGAGAGCTTGGGAGGCTCAAATATTTTAGGATTGACCGGATGAGCCTTCACCTGATGCCTGGTTAAAAGAGAGCCATGAATAATGGAGATTAGGTTACCAGAAAATTTTCATATGGCACAAGCAGATATTGCTTAGGAAATGTAATAGTAGCTCCAAATACGGATGTTTTACATGTCCCCTAAATAAAAAAATAACAGCAAGATAAATGATGAACGTCACATAGCAAGATTTCATGAAAGAAGCTAATTAACCAAATCTCGCTATGTGAAGTTGGCATCAATTCAAAGGTCTTATTAACCACTGGTTAAAATTTGTCATTGTAAGTCAAATAACTCCCTAGACCACTTTAGGATCTCCAGGTTTGACTCCAAGCACAAAGCTGTTGCTGAGCAATATTACTGCAGCCGACATTATAGAAGTAAGCTGTTGCTGAGCAATATTACTGCAGTAGACATCATAGAAGTAAGCTGTTGCTGAGCAATATTACTGCAGTAGACATTATAGAAGTAAGCTGTTGCTGAGCAATATTACTGCAGTAGACATTATAGAAGAAAGCTGTTGCTGAGCAATATTACTGCAGTAGACATAATTAAGGCGAGTGCATACGAACTTCTGAGCCTCAAGCATTTCTTGCTCCTCAATTTGCTCCCTGGTGGGATGGTTGACTGGGCGGCTGCGGCTGCGGGTGCTGAGATGAGGAGACTGTGGTCTGGTGACGGAGGGCAGGCTGCTGCTGCTGCCGCTTCTGGTCATCCTCTTAGGACAGCTTTCCTCTGTATACAACACATGAATGAGTTATCATTTGCTATAGTGCGCTTCACCTGTCGCACTTTTTTATTATTTGCTATAGTGCGCTTCACCTGCCGCACCTTTCCTCTGTATCCAACAGATGAAAGACAGTATCATTAGCTGTAGTGCGCTTCACCTGCCGCACCTTTCCTCTATATACAACAGATGAAAGACAGTATCATCAGCTGTAGTGCGCTTCACCTGCTGCACCTTTCCTCTATATACAACAGATGAAAGACAGTATCAGTTGCTATAGAGCGCTTCACCTGCCGCACCTTTCCTCTGTATACAACAGATGAAAGACAGTAGTATCAGTTGCTATAGTGCGCTTCACCTGCCGCGGCTTTACTTCATTGCACGTTTTCAACAAATGTTAATGAGAAGAATCATTCGCGGATTGCGACCAAACATTTATATACAATACGGTATCTATTTTTGAATAAGTACAATCAGTAGAATAATACCTCATCACGGCCGAAGTTTGGAAAGTAAGACACGCGATAGGGGAATTCTTACTCCATTGATACATTTAACACTTTATACACTATCCACTGCAGCTTGCTTGCCAAGATTTTTTTCAAAGATAGAAGTAACTTCAACGAACATTCACCATGTCTTATAGAATTTGATGTTATCAGGGTTACATAGATGAATTTTATACTGAATAGACGTCATGGCACTACAAAAAAAAATCAATCTTTATAATACTGATAAAATTACCTTCTTGTTGAGGTAATGGTATGGTAATTTTTTTGTGTTTTTTTCTTTACTTTGCTTTGAGGTAACTAGCGTTTCGAGCAATTTATCGTAATTAATAGCTTGCATATTATTTTTCACCTTTTATTTTGTATACTAAATGAGTGTTTTACTGATTGTGGACAATAGTGAAAAATCGGACATTAAAATAGAAAAGAGTTCACAGTCAATCAAAGGCTTACCCTTTTTAGGAACTGTCCTGAATCTCTGAGGAGTCTGACTGTGGAACTTCATGTTGAGCTCGGCCAGTGAGACAAACTTGGTCTTCTGCTGGTCAGCTTCAGCAGAATTGTGCTTTTTCCCTTCAGACAAATTGAAAGGCTGCGGTTTTGTGGGCCCACGTGGAGCGTGACTCGTTGCCGTAGCATTTTTCTGCAAAAAAATTCATCTCTTGTTGTTACGTGTTTACGTATTGATCAAATTAGAGTAGAACTACTATGCTGTCAATAGTAGGTCATGTAAGGCCAGCAAGCCTTTATACTTCAGTTGTAAATCAGACTCCACCAAATACAGTTCCCCAAACCGATGGTCTCGTCTCTGCCCATCTTCCTCCTTAGCTAGCTTAGACCTAGAAGTCATATACGACTAGCAAACGTAACATGGTGGTAACGGACAGTAGTACTTAATTGTGAAGATGGAAGAGAGCAACTCGCAACCTACCTACAAGAAAATGGCGGTATTGAAAATGCCCGACCGCATGACGTTAGGGAACAACGCAGTGAAGAATTGGAAACTCTTCAAACAACGCTGGGAGACCTACACCGTGATTACGGACTTCAGCTCGATCTCCATAGTAAAACAGAAAGCATTTTTCATTCATTGCCTTGATGATGACGCCCTGGATGCATACAACACATTCCAACTGGCCGAAGACGCGACAGTTAACCAGATTATTCGAGCGTTCGACAGCTTCATCATCGGAGAAGCTAACGAAACCTACGAACGTTTTATGTTCAACAGAAGAAACCAAGAAGAAGGAGAATGCTTCGAACTTTTCTACGCCGAACTTCAAAGATTAATTAAGACGTGCAACTACTGCGACAACTGCAAAACGTCACTGCTGAAAGATAGAATTGTTTTAAGCATACATGATGCTAACATTCAAAAGGAACTCTTGAAGACGCGCAATTTAACGCTAGAGAAAACGGTGGATATCTGTAAAGCAAATGAAAAAGCGGTGACTCATAATAAAACACTACGCCCAGAAGTTAACAAGGTGATAGACTCCAAGAAAGAAGCTTCAACGAATCTGAGGAATAAATCTGAGGACAGTGTAAATTTTGTGGAAGGCACCACCAATTTGACAAAAACAAATGCCCAGCATATATAAAAACCTGCAAGAAATGTTTGAAGAAGAATCATTTTGCTTCAATGCGCTTATCGAAACCGCAATCGAGAAATTCGCTAAACAAAAACAAAGTCAACTACTTAGAAGGAAGCACAGACTCTGAGTCGGAAGAATGGATCAACAACCTCGTTGCACAAAACTGCAACAGCGATAAGATGGTTAAATGCGCTATGGAGATCGACAATAGGACGGTAAAGTTCCAAATAGATACTGGCTCCAGCGTCAACATTCTTCCCAGGAACTACGTGAAACACAAAACGATAAATGGAACAAATATTGTGCTCAAAACGTGGAACAACAAGAATTACGCCCCATTGGGAGAGTGTCGTGTAACAGTGCGTAACCCGAAGAACAAGAAGAAATATAACGTAAATTTTGTGATCAGCGAAGAACACTACACACCAATTCTAGGACTCAGAGCAAGCCAGCAAATGAAGTTAATAGAACTGAAAGAAAGAAATTTCCAAAGAACTAACAAAATAGATGGACAAGAGAATCCTCGAATATTCAACGACGACCTAGGGACTTTTCCCGGCATTCATAAACTGAAGATAAAAGCAGATGCCCAACCCTGCATAATGCCAGACCGACGAGTTCCCATTGCATTGAAACCGAAGCTGAAAGCAGAGTTAAACAGACTTGAGAAGCTAGGAGTCATTACCCCAGTTGAAGAAGCAACAGAATGGGTAAGCCAAATCGTAATAACGAAGAAGAGAGATGGAAGAGTAAGACTGTGCATCGACCCAAGGGAATTGAACAAAGTAATAGTCAGAGAAAGATATACCCTTCCGACTATAGACGACGCGCTTCATGAGTTAAGCTCTTCCAAAGTATTCACCAAGACAGATCTAGCAGCAGGATATTGGCATGTAAGACTCGACGAGACTTCTAGCAAGCTTACGACTTTTCAGACACCTCATGGTAGATACAGATGGCTAAGATTACCATTTGGAATCTCCACGAGCGCAGAAATATTTCAGAAGAAACTACATGACGCTTTATCAGGCCTCAAGGGAGTAATATGCATTGCCGACGACATCATAGCTGTCTCTTATACACATCTAGATGTGTATAAGAGACAGCTACAGAGTCGGTTTAACCGCGCCTTGTCTCGTTCATAACTCGAATGATCGAGTTCGGCAACGTTCGCCGATAAGTGCGCCATGCCGGTGCTCTAGCCCTTTAAGCCCTGGTGTGACGAATTCGTCACACAGAAAATAAAAGCTTCTACCGAGAGTAATTACATGTTTGGAGTCTAGCCGCGAGTGTGACGGTAGCGTCACATGTTGTGAACTCGTTCGAACGACGTTCGATGGAGTAGGACCTGTCTCTTATACACATCTAGATGTGTATAAGAGACAGTTGTGTGGTCACCGAGACTTGAAAAGGACAAAAATTTAGTTGAGAGTGTTCAAAGACGTGCAACAAGGATAATCCCAGGATTAAAGGGCAAGTCTTATGAAGAAAGATTGAAGATTATGAAGCTTCCCGCAGTCTCCGTTATCGTCGCCTGTGTTACGTGTTTACGTATTGATCAAATTAGAGTAGAACTACTATGCTGTCAATAGTAGGTCATGTAAGGCCAGCAAGCCTTTATACTTCAGTTGTATACCAGACTCCACCAAATACAGTTCCCCAAATTCCCCAAACCGATGGTCTCGTCTCTGCCCATCTTCCTCCTTAGCTAGCTTAGACCTAGAAGTCATATACGACCAGCAAACGTAACACTTGTCATTGAAATTGATTTGTAAGACAAACATCATTATCAAGTAACGTGATCAACTGATCAAACTATGATTCACTTTGAATGAACTCTGTGAAATCAGCTCAAGTGTGGTACAACATGCAAGCAACATAAATTAAAATATAGAATAATGAGTGACTCACGGCAGTACTACGAAGGGTGCGGGCGAAATCCGCCGCTGAGGCGAGTACAGGAGCGGCCAAGGTGGTCTTAGAGACGCTCTTCAAGCGACTATCCGTGGCAAAATTAAATGCGACAGGCTTAGTAGTACTGACCCTGCCGCCCTGTAAAACAATATTATTATCACGCATTTATGGTTTCATTGCCCAGATGAGGAAAATATAAACAGTAATTAAAAGTTTTATTTACTTTTAGCCAAATGAAACAGTTGTTCTGAAGTCACGCCACAAATGAAGATAATTGATCATGAACTTGTGACAAGAAAAGCCAGACATAGAGGGAGCAAGAAGGGAAAGAATATTAGTATTCGAATTTTCCAAACATTGATACTAATATATAAGTTACAATATTAGACACAGAAAAATGCAATGAAAATCACCTAAATTCACAAGAAATTATTTCAGCAAAATAATAACGATTTACATAGACTAAAACTTGTGTAGAGATCAGATAGTCCATGAAAAAATATAATCTAGAACATAAATAAGGATGTGGAGAGATCAATGAACAAGTTCAAGCGTTGTGGTATTGTGGGATAAGAAATCTGGTATATATAAATGCACTTACTATAGGTAATCACTTAGTGCATAAATACTGAAATGGTACAGACCTTAAATGAGGCACTGCGTCGAGAATTACGTGCATTGGGGTCGGCAACTTCGGCAAACTGGGTGAGATGAGCACGATCTTCTGCTGACAATGGGCCACAGGTACTCTTAGATCTGTTGAAATTTTTATATTAATATCGTCATTATGAATTGCTGCAATAATGCAGGATGCTTCACAAATAGGATCTTATATAATCCAGCATTAACCAGCAACTGGATACCGGTACATGTAATATAAGGAACAATTTCTATTTTGTTCAAGCAACTAGGTATAACTTATTTTCAATCTAGCATTAAGATTGGTAATATCACGAGGTGGTGCACATCATAAAGACTGCAACTCTCTTCTAGTTAATTTTCAATTAAATCGTGGTTTTGCACTGTATTTTGGTTGATCATCTATTTGTTGCTAGGTATAGTAAACTGCAAATCTTCATATTAATTCTTTTTACTCCATTACCGGGTCGATGCTGGTATTTCATATTGGTTTGGTGCAGAAGAATCAGGGTAGCAGTTACTTTGTACTTGACTATATGGGTACCTATACTATACTACTAGGGGACTGTGTACCTATATAGGTATATACTTATAAAGGCACACTTCCATGATTGGCAGAGTAGCATATTCAATGAGACTTGGCAATCATCACAGTAAGACATAGGGCATTGCTTAATTAGTTTGATATGGTTGAGGTTTTTGTAAATGTCAAATCAACCTTTTCTTAGACATGTCATAAGCACAGTAGTATGTATCTGAAATGTCATAATTCCACTTATTTCTGAGTGAAAACGAAATAGGTACAGTTCATCCAGAAACACAATCTAACAAACCAACTAAATAATTATAAATAATTATATATACGTGAAAGACAGCCTATATGAAAATAAATACAAAAGGTGAGGAAAAATAAGCAGGCAAGAAGAGTGTGCTGCTCAAGCACCTGTTGGAGCGAAGGCCAGGGCTAGCAGACACACTGCGGCGGCGCCCCTTGAAGCCTGAGGAGCTGTTGCGCTGACCTCCACTAGTGTTGAGTGCCTACCAACAAATAATAACAGTTTAAAAATATGCAGAAAACTGCATAATTACATATATAAATATAAATAAATATATATGCATGCTCAGTATTTAATTGAAAATGAAGCCTTCCTCTAAATAGATCAAGAACAGATAACTGTACCTAATTTCAAAATCACCCTGTAAGAATTTCACAGGGGCAACCTGCCAATCAGGTACCTGCATTTTCCTACATGCATACATAAGCAGTTCGCTTAAAATTATCCTTCATCACTCAGCAATAAATCATGGAAAATGAATTGCAATGATGAGCTCACCTTAGCAATGGCAGCCAGTCTAGGGGAGTGCCGCATGGGTGGTTGCTGGAACACGCCATCACTGCCCAGAGGACCTGACAAGAATAAACAATGGGAGTGCCGCATGGGTGGTTGCTGGAACACGCCATTGCTGCCCAGAGGACCTGACAAGAATAAACAATTAATTTATCTAGTATTATAGGTTTTAAAGTAATGAACAATTTGATTGTAGATCGTTACTTATTGAACAGAGATTTAGTTAGGACTGCCATAAATTCCCTCATTAGATGCTTGAAATAAAAAAATTGTGCTAACAAGGCAGGGATACAGGAAAATTCTTAATACAGCACCAAAATTCATAGTTGTAAAATATACTGCATGTATTCAGAAGAATGTTAGAAGAAAATAAATCTTCTCAATTTAATTTCTATTATACCATGAAACATCAGTATAAGACAAGTAGTAGTAGTAGTATGATGGTTTACTAGCGCTTCAGCTATCAAGCTATTTTGCACCAGAGGTCAAAATATACATCGCCAGCAAGGCAGGTCTCAATTATTCAAAATCTCAAATTAATCATCGCCCACAAGGGGCGGAAGGTCTCAATTGTCCAGCCCGCTGAAGCTGGCTTGAAAGAAGCAGCAATAGCATCTCAAAGAAACAAAGTGAAACGGAGGGACAGGTGAAAAGCAACATAAACTAAGACACTCAAACAAGAGGTCGCTTACACGGGACATCAGCCGCCCACACAAGAAAGAGAAGGGAATGCAAGGAATCCTACCTACATAATAACTTAACCCCACAACTGAGACCCACAGTCAGACACCGCGAGCTCAGCAGTGGGGCGCTCAGGAACAATCCCCCTGGGAGCACGAAATCCCACAGGACTTCTGACGCGCAGACACCCGTCAGAAGTCCCCCCTGAGGGGTCAGTATAAGACAAAGAATTAGTTTAAAATCACAAGCAAACCTTAACTTCAATGGAAAAGTACAGAAATGCAAATCCCACCTTTGCGGCAGGATCTTGTGACACGCTTTTCATCAGTCTCATTTGTTTCCATCTGTTCCTCAGAAATATNTCTCAATGGAAAAAGTACAGAAATGCAAATCCCACCTTTGCGGCAAGATCTTGTGACACGCTTTTCATCAGTCTCATTTGTTTCCATCTGTTCCTCAGAAATATCAACCCTAGAAGTGCTGGACAGCCTTGAAGGGTCAATGAGTTGTGTGGTCCCTGAGGCATTTTCTTCAGTTTGCATGGCTGAAGGCTCTTCAGTTTTTATTGCTGAAGGCACTTCAGCTTGCATTGCTGAAGGCTCTTCAGATTGCATTGCTGTAGGCTCTTCAGTTTGCATTGCTGAAGGTACTTCAGTTTGCATTGCTGAAGGTACTTCAGTTTGCATTGCTGAAGGTACTTCAGTTTGCATTGCTGAAGGTACTTCAGTTTGCATTGCTAAAGGTACTTCAGTTTGCATGGTTGTTGGCTCTTCAATTTGCATAGCTGAAAGTTCATCAGATTGCATAGCAGAAGGCTCTTCAATTTGCATTGCTATGGCGTTTCTTCCCGTCTCATGTGACATCAAAGGTTTGTCAGAAGTCTGAGAAATGAGATTTGGGGTTTCACAGTTAAGAGAGCTCAACTTTTCAGTTGATTTCTCCATGGCATTTGCCCCGTCACTTTTTGATGATGAACCAGCTTTGGATTCTGCAGCTTGTAAATCAGAAAGACTTTGAGCTTGGCCTTCATTCTGACAATCTGAAATGAAAATACACATCTTAAAATATCTAAAAACAATCATGAAAATCGATAAATTTGCATGTTCTTCTACTGATATACATATGTACGAAGGTTTATAATTGATATTCAGGTCATTTTAGAAAATATTAATTAAAAACAAACTTTCCATCAATACTCACCAAAAAATGAGTCTTCATTTTCATCATCTTGGAAATTAGTGAAATCTATGTACTTTTGAGGTGCATTAAATTCATACCGCTCGTCATAGAAAGTTGACGATTGATCCATTGAAGAGCTTTCTAAAATTGGATGAAAACTGAAAATCAAGTTAGAAATTGTTAATTGAATATTCAACTACTTTAATTATGGGACAGTTGAAAAAGTTTCAAATTGGAAGATTCCAAGTCCAATACAAGTTCTCAATATCTACAGTATAATACCAAAGTTTACTTGGTATTCTTAGCTTTTTTCAATATAATTTACAAATGTGTTCAGGGATTGCTAATAATCAAGTTGATTAAGATGACTTCAGGCTTAATTACTGAAACAGTCATTACCCTTTGTCTTTGACAAGCAAAATTTTATAAATGGCTCATTTGAAATCTCTGCCCAAAAAGGCCTACAGTTTGTGGCTGTATAATCATGACTAATGCCAATCACTAATCATCTGCTAATATTACTTACATCACTTTGTAAAAAAAAGGAATTAACATAGGAGCAATTAACAAATTTTATTGCTCAAACCCTAAAATTAATGCTATTCCATAACTTTCAAGACATGGGTCAGGTGTATGCCAGCTGTTAGACAGCAGTCACCAATTATGCTTTTCCATCTCCTTAGATCATGATTTATGAGTGATATTGATATTATGATTGATACCTACATATGCATGATGATCAATACAGACAAATGCACCTACAGTCACAAGAGTTGCACTTGCACCTAATATTCAAATTTGGCCACTTGGCAATGCTGGTCAGAGCCATAGACTAAGCATGGCAGGTTTTTGATCAAAGGGGGTTCCATAAAACCTTTGTGGTTCTGAGCCCACTCATCCCGTCCTCAAGAAAGAAACTACCTTCCTCGACTCAAGCAGGCAGAGAGCAGACACAAGCATGGAAAACCTCTACCTTTAGGGCCGCAACTAGAGCTTTTCCACCATTTCTGGTACAGCGAGATTCTCATCAGATGAATTACCTCCTATCTAATTGTTGACAAGTTACAACAGTACCCAATCAGGTCGCAAGATTCCAAATGTATTGAAAAATTTTCACGTTGAACCAATGAGATTTCAGAAACAAGTAGGAAAATTCCAATCCTGGGCAGACAGACAACTTCACAGGTGGCAGCAAAAATTTCCACTAGTCATATAATTTCAGTAGGTATGAAATCTTGCGGCTCTAATGTCATGTATTCTAGTTTGATTGAAAAAATTGCGGTTTGCACTCTGCAAACATGTCTTTGCATTCAAAAATTTTCAACTTCCACCATCCGCAATACTTTTGACGATCCTGCCAAAATATCCTGCACAACGTTATAAAAACAAGTCAATCTAAAACGTTACCTTAAAGATTGCGTTGTTGCAGTCACGTCAGAGCGGTCAGACTGCATTATTACGTGATCAGTTGGCACTTAAGTGAAGACAAATGTTAGTGTTACTGTTTTTAGGGTAAAATTAGAGATTAGGGTAACAAGTGCATGGGACTTTGTAAAAAGTTTGCAGCTGCTGGCTTGTAAATGGCTTTTAATGGCCAAAGTATTAAATTCATGGTTTGAAGAAATTAAATCACGGCTCCAAGAAATGGAATAATGGCTGGCAAATCTATAAAACCATGTCTCAAAAAATTCAGTCGCCGCTTGCCAAGTAGATATATTCCATGCCTGTCACATCCTAGCCACAGCGTCAGAATCTTTTCTTTTTAAATAACAGAACACCTCTCATCTCACTTATGCAGGGTGCACCAGAGAAACTTACTTATTTGAAAGGTCAACAAAAACCATAGTACTTCAATTATTGTTTTAACTTTTTTTATTTGAAAATACAATATAGCAATTTTTTTCATAGTCTTGAAAATGACATCAGATAAATGGTGACCCCCATTGTGCATACACTGATGAAGTCTGCTTTTAAAATTCGTATCCACTCTTTGCAGCAAATCAATCAGTATTATGGCGATGGTGTTGCAAATGTTGTGCTTGAGGTGTGCTATGGTCCATGGTAGATCAACATAAACCAGAGATTCAAAATAACCCCATAAAAATAACTCGCATGGAGTCAAATCCGGAGAGCGTGGCGCCCGTGGCAGCCATTAGAGATCGCCTTGGAGAGATGAGGCAGTTGGGGAAATGTTGTTGCAACAAATTCATTGAGTCTCGTGCTGTGTGTGCTGTGGCTCCATCTTGCTGAAACCACACATTCCTGACATTAATTTCTTCAAATCTTGGAAGAAATAAGGACCAATTTTTCCCAATTTCTCATTACCAATATTGCACACACACCAGACAGTAACTTGTTCACAGTTAAGTCGCATCAGGTGAAGCTCACATGGATTTACACCACTGACCACACCAATAATGCACATTTTGCTTGTTGATGCAGCTGGAAATGTGGAGGTGAGCCTCATCACTGAACAAAAACAACCATGTCTTCAGACAGGTTGTCAAGCAGCATTCACACGCATTTTGATAGGCAACAAAATCGCATTCAGTTAATTCTTGCACAACATCCAATTAATAGGGATGAAAGTGAAGGTTTTCATGGGTGGTTTCAGAAACTTCCTTACAAGCCAAACACCAGGGAGAACGTCCAACTGACTGCCTCACTCTTTCCACATTTTCCAATGTTCTGATGGTCTGTTTAAGTCCATTTCTGGGTTTAGCAACACTTCCACACTCCCCAACACCCAAAATGAGTTAACCCACAACAGAATCAAATTAGGGCCAAGGCCCCAGGAATGAGTCTGTGAGGAGGAATTTCAAGCAAGCACAGAAGACACATTGCATAGAAACAAGTGAGCAACCATTAGAAAAGTAGGTCTTGACTGTGAAGGCCTGCTGCTTGAGGCTCTCTACCTACTAGTCTCTAGACCAGGGCATGATGGCAACTGACATTAGGTACTGACTGGAGTCTGGAGGGAGAAACAAACTTGGGAATTTCCCCCTCCAGATGCGCCCCCTAGCTCCTCTACCCACCCAACTCTCTGCGCATGGCGAGCAGGAATTTTTCAAATAAGTAAATTTCTCTGGTGCACCCTGTACCTGTAAATAGATATCTACAGAAATAAATACACATACAGTCTCACAGAGGCAAAATCTTTACAATTTTCATCTGATGACTGGCAATAATATGGAACATCAACATTTTAGAATTTAGATTCAAATATAATATGTAACTTTCTAGTTTCAAGCCTCAAAATTACCAGTAATCTTAAAATAGGGTAAACACGGTATATTCCAACATCATGGGTAATTCCAACACTTCTCAACTTTTTTCCTTTATATTTAGCATTTTCTTAGTTCCACGCATTCATTAATGGTTGAAATAGCGACGTCATATGTTTGTGCGCCATACCATTGCCAAAACACTATGTCTGTGTCGTCTGGTGGGAAAATGTTGACTGTTGAGATTCAAAGAGAGACAGGGCGCATCACCCAGTGAGAACATCAAAAAATGTGTCAAAGTTGATAGTTGACCTTGCTCTACCAAATAGTGATAAACTGTTTGTGTAGAAAGAATATTATGGTTTGAGAATATATTAGGAATCCTTAGGAATCTTTGAATATATTAGGAATCCTTCAAGTAAACTTGTATTTGCTGATTTCAAGTGGTAAAAAATTTATACCTAGATTAAAAGATGGTTTTAGACACATAAAAACTAATTCTGACACAGCTTGGAATTAGACACACAGCTCATTTCAAGCTGTGTGCAAAAATTAAAATTTTCTTAATTAAAAGCTTAATAGCTCTTGATTAAAAGCATAAATAAGTAGTGTTCAATTTTCAATAGTGTTCTAATTCCAAGCTGTGTCATATTAACATATTCCAATACACCTCACACAGCAATCAGAATTTGAACACAAGAGTGTTGAAATTAGGTCATTCCATGCCAAGTGGTCTAACCCTTCCCACCATCATGTCACCAATTTTCTTCAAATTTTAACTGTAGCACTAGTGAAGTCCTAAACTAAGTTTTCCAAAATATTAGACCTCTAGCTGCAATAGTTGCTGATCTAGAGCCCCTTGTCTGAAGGGTAGTCAGTCCATGTGCGCGCACCATTGGACAAAATGCAATTTTTGGGGTCCAATAAAATTGAAACTAATTTTTAAAAATAGCTAGTATAATGAGATCCTGTTCAGTTTTTGGTGTTGATTCTGATCAAATTACTTTTAACATTACTGACACAAAATTCAGCCAAACAAGTTGACTCAAAATGTGCCTCAAAATTTGTTTTGACTCAATGCAAAAAATTTTGATCAATATTTAGACTGCAACAATTTTCTTGCAGATCAAGATATGGACTTGAACTTTTGAACAAGCTTTATACTTCAGATGGACATAATATAGCTAGATTTTCAGCTTCCCAGACCCTATAGCTGTCCTGCAGGATCTCTTCAAATTTGTCAAGGTCAGCACAAATGGTCAAATTTACCAAAGTTCAAAGCCAGTTGCTGAAAAATAGTCAGCCCAAATCTGCTTGTGCATAATATCTAAAAGAGAAAATTTTGCTCTACAAGACCTATGTATTCTTTTTTTGCAATGCAACCACTAAGTATTTATTTATTCAGGTCAAAATATGTTATTCTTTGTGTACGTGATATGCTAATTTTTCCTCATTTCCAGGAATTTAAATCTTTATAGTCACTTATAATTACTGATAAAGTTTTATTTTTATTCATATATTATTCATTGATTGGTCAATTGTTTATTGTGCATTGTTATCAATTTGATTGTGCCACCAAATGTGAATATTATAGCTTCTAAAATATAATTTAATAAATAGTATTTACCAGCTGTTTACCATTAAATTAAATATGACAGAAGTTAACAGAGAAGTCCATTACTGACGGCACTTTGTTTGTCCATTACCGACGACGACTCGGAGATGGAGGACGACAAAGGCGGCGCATCAGCGTGACCTTGGACTACGACGTCCTAAACTCATCATAAGGTAAGGTCATAAGGATAAGAAAAAGAATTGGCCCCTTTTTCAGTTGGGAAACGTGCTGCTGCATCAAAGTGCCATGTTATCATCTATGCTAAGACTGGATTCAAACCTTTTGCTGATTTTTGCAGAATATGACCAGAAATTACTTGTT